AGACTCCAGTAAAGATGATCACCCAACGGTAGGATAACGACGACGGGCCTGCGGTCGACTTCGAGATAGAAACTAGAGACCCTCCAATAGGGCCGGCCAGCACATTTCCGATACCTTTGCCGAAGTTCAGCAAGCTGAAGACAATAGGTCCCGCGGTAACGTCGTCGGTCACAGCTGTGCTCATCCTAGCCCATGTGGCTGTAAACCCTGCGCCGAAGAATCCGTACGTGATAGCAAAGATGACCAAGACGGGGAGGGACTCGGCTAATCTCCATAAGGTAAAACAAGCAACCGCCGCAACGACAGTTGACGAGCAAGCCAAGATGTTGAGTGGGACCCTTCGATCAGATAACAGGCCGAAGACAAATTGACCGGCAACCTGGGAGACGCTCATTAGAGCGAGGAGAAGTGCACCGATCTTGCCTCCGAGCCCAAGGGATGAGGCGTAAGAAGGAATATATAAGCCCGGGAAAAAATACCCTAATCCTTGCAACACGTTGGAAACGGAGTATACCCAGAACAGAGGACTCTGGAAAAAAGCCAAGTTCATTCTGGGACTACTAGTTCGCTCCGAGGGGGGCAAGCGGCCTTTCAAGAGAGGGATGAAGGGTCCTGTGAGCAAGGTGAGAGCCACGGCCACAGCGCGGAGCGTCGTTCGGTATCCGTACTTGGCTAAAAGGGCCTCTAATACGAATGGGATGACGGTCCCCGAGACGCCAGAGGCGCCGCAGAGAATACCGTACGCCATGCCACGACGCGCGATCCAGTACTCGTTTACCATGGCGAGGATGGGGTAGTAGAAGATAAGGAAGCCGACGCCATACGCCACGCCTTGTGTCAGGATGAGCACTTCTAACGTGGATGCGAAGGACCCTAAGACAAGTCCGACGATGCAAATCGACCCTGAGAGAAGAGACGGGTCAGCAATTGTATATCTCGAGATCATGCGTCTTGTGTGATAGGGGGGGAGTTGCAAGACAGGAAAGACATACAGCCGACGCAAATCATCTGGCGCCACCACCGCTGGTAGCGCTGAAGGAGAGGAATGACGACTGGGGCCCCGAGATACCCGAATCCCGATGCTATGGTGCCGACGACAGAGATATAGCGGTTGCCCGCGAACTCGGGGACCTTGGAGTAGTATTCTTGGAAGACACCGAAGGAAAGAGGGAAGCCTATTGTTTAATATTCGATATTCATCGATCAGCTCTCACCCAAAGAATCCATCGATAAATAGTAGGGAGTTTACCCCATAGTAATGCCTCGAACATGAATGCAGCGCAGAGCAACTTCCACGCCGCAGGTCCTCCATCTACGGGCGCCAACTCTTGTTCTGCTCGCACGCTGTTCATTGGGTCTCCTTCTATACCCCGCGGCTGGAGCGACGGCGATGATCGTCTTTCGTTGCTCTCAACGGCCAGCTCGGGTGGCGCAACTGTGACTAGCTCGGTATCGCTCATAGCGAATGACTTAGAAAAAGATGACCATGAGGGATGAAATATAGAATAATTGCCGGGTTTGTAGTATAATCCTTCATCCCAATCATGCAGTAGAGAAGCTTAAGTATTGTATGGCGATATTCGCGCCAACGGACTCTTAAGTTGGATAGGGGCTAGTTTGCCAAGTCTTCCGACAGTAGTATATAGGTAACGAACTTCGGTCTTTTAAACACTCGTGAAGATTATCAATTGCGAATTGATTTTCTTCTTTCAGATGAAAGGAGATCTAATATTTCTTCTATTGAGCAATGCTCTAGGCGTTACTTGGTTGTCGTTGAATTTCTAAGACTAAGAGTGCGGTCACAAGGACATTGATGCAATTCTTAGTTCCATTTGTCCGTCGATCATATATACCTTAGCCCCTCACCACCCAAGAAGATACTCGGCTATAAAATGTGACTGCTTCCCGGGTGCATATGATATCACCCAGCTATGTATCCGAAAGCGGATGCTTTCGGTCTAACATCTAAATCTGAATCGAGTCCCCCAAGTGGTACAAATACGGAATGCGTGATTGTGTTCCCCTTCCATGAGCTCTAGCCACGCCAGATAGCCTCGATTACAGCAAAGAAAGTCAAAGGGTCGGCTTTGACGCTCACGACGTCGAATCGCTCATCCGCAGCTTTGAAAATGCCCCTATATGACTCGGCTGGGCGTTCCTGAATTACGCAGAGTTAGTCATCTCTCCTTAAGGCTTCTATGGAACTATAGAATAAATTTCCACGCAAAAAATACTAAACGTTGCCAAAATTAAAAACCACATAATAACGAGAAGTGAGAACTTACCTTGGCATTGAACATGGCCATCATCCTGATATCCGTCGCCGTGCCCATCTGCCGGATAGACAGCGGCAACGGCTCCTTCTCGGCGTCGGCGTCTCCTTCCTCTACCTTTCCGATATACTCGATGACAACTACGCGGTTACCCGGCCGCAAGCCCGGCGTTAGGGCCCTGAGGATTCTTGCGCACTCGCTTTCCGAGTTATCGTGGAGGATGAGTTTGATCATGTAGATGTCAGCCTGCGTAGGCTGGGGCTGGTACATGTCGTGCTCGACGAACAAGACACAGTCGCGGACGTCATCTGGTAGGTCTGCTTCGAAGACGGGTTTTACCATAGGTAGATCTTGGACTATTAGCTTTAGATCGGGGTACTTCCGTGCCAGCAAGATGGCGTCGTGGCCTGCTGATCCACCGACCTAGGCATGAATCTTAGTTAGCTAGCTATCCGTCTTGTCTTGTCTTGTCTTGTCTTGCTTTAACAGCTGGCTGGGGCTACTACTGACATCGACGACGGTGGCCTTCCCGGCCCCTTGCCAGTCGTACGCGTCGAGGACGATGCCTTCGAGGTGGAAGATCTCTCGGATGTATTTCATGAATTCTACAAATTTCGCCTGGCGCCATCCTCGCTTTTCTCCCTCGCCGTCGTTCTCCAGGTACTCCCACGAGTTGCTGTGCTTCTTGCCGAACGGGCCGGTGCTGTGGAATAGGGCAAAGGCGGTCTCACTGAGATCCTGGGTTAACTCAGACTGCGATGTTCGGAGTTAGTAAGTAATCGTCATTCTAGGCTCGAAATTGGGGCAGTTGGGAACCACGGAAGGATCCAGCCATGTAGTGCAGGCGAGATAGAGTCGTTTGCACACCGAGAGCCACTGGAATGGTAGAGCAACTCGGGGCATTACTCACCTTTCCCTGGGAATACTTTTCCAGCGCGCTGGTCATGGCCATCATCGGAGCCCCCGTGATGTCTAAGACGGATGAGACAAGAGCTTGGAGGCCCGACTGCCGCGCGAGAGCCGCCGACCGGCTCGTGTGCTTGACTTGAGAAGAGCCTACTGCCTCGAAGAGCCGTAAAGTGGTGGCATGTTGAACGAAACGGGTAGCAACGTCCACGGGGAGAGATACGCGCTCTGCAATCTCCGAGTAGGAAGCCGAGCCTTCGAGAGGCACGGCCGCCCAGAAATTAAAGTGGTTGAGTACATTGAGACACGCAGCATCCGGAATAACCTGAAGAAGGCCTTTGTTCAGAAGACGCTGCTTACGGTAGTAGATTTGAAGAAGAATTTGTACGTCTTACGTTGTGGACGTAGTTATAGACGCTTTCACTTGGGCCCTGAACGAGGTACCACATGTCCATCAGCTTGTCGCAGAGCGTCTGTCTCGTCATGAACATGTCTGCCGTGATTCCCTTATGGCTCATGGGGCTATTGACGTCAAAGCTTGCTTCAGGGAGGTTCTTCTCCTCGAGAGAGGTCGCGAAAGAATCCGCTAGTTTCGTGATCTCGGCCGCGAGGGCGCGAAGCTGTGATTCGGCCATGGAGAGTTGAAAGAAAGGAATAAGTACAGATGAGTATTAACACTGTAAGAAAGGAGATGAAGAAAAGACTGTTTTCAAGATTGCATCCTCGCTTCTATTTGAGTGAAGAAAAAGAACGCCCGCGCGCGCCCAGAAAAACCGAAGAGCCAAGATGTGACCAAGACAAATCATTACTCTATTCCCGAACTTCAATGGGGTGGCTGCCTATACTATCTAGTCATCCAAGCTTGCTAGCCAAGGCTCTTGCTCGAAATAGGCATGTTGTTAAAACGTCTTGACGTATCGCTACATGCGTGCTTCCGGTCTCGCTTAGAGGATTGCTTGTCACGACAGATCGAGATAATCTTATCAATCTAATCAGATCATCTTGTCGATCGATCAGGCCTCTGTCTTTACCTACCTACCTACCTACCTATGTGATTCCCAGCTCTTGACGTAGGTAGCGACTAATCCATGAATCGCCAGCTTTTGAATGAAGATGACGATATTATATTCCTAGCCGCCAGATCATAGTTCAACGCTAGCTGGTTACCCCATCTCCCCAATTTGTTGAACCGTCTCGCCTCGGCATCAGGAACGGACCCGGCCTGGCACAAGACGTCCTTTCAGGCTAGACAGCGATGGGCTTCCTCTAATGACGCCATGATACTGAATGAGTAAAAGAAGTACAGAACACGGCGACATAGCTCAACTGAATTCCCCCCTCTCTTTCTCCAAGCCCACTGAAGTCGCTAACGAGGAGGGTGTCCAATGATGGCGCTTCCAAGTCTGCCAAGAGAAATAATCTGATCCGAGCACTGCCGAACTTTACTGTTAATAGATTATGGCCAAGCCCCGTCCTATGGACATGCATCTTGGCGAACCTGTCTATATTGGGAAAGTCGAACAAAGAGCGTTGGAAATCAAGTAGAAGCAATGGTCCAAACAAGCGAGAGGGGGTGGGCGTTTGACTACCTAGGTACGCAATCAAATAATCAGGTATGATAGAAACGTCTACTTCCAAAGAGAGTGGGAAATACTTACACATTATTAGACAAACTGGTATCGACCGGGAACGCAGAGAAGAGCCAATACTAATATGATTGGTGATGTGCAGGTCCTATATGCCTCAATAGCTTCTGGATCTGCCTGGAATATAGGCAATAATTCCTAACCGAACACCAACTCTTGCTTCTATAGCAGGTACGGCGTGATGGCCGAGTGGTCTAAGGCGATACTTTTAAGCAGTATTGGGGAGACCCGCGCGAGTTCGAACCTCGCTCACGTCATTCTTTTTTTTTTTCATTCTTGGTTGTCTTGGTCACTGGTAAGAAAACGTAGGATTGTAGATTAGTGAGCAATGTGCCATGATGCCGTCACAATCGACGGCAATGTTGCAAAGTCCATGAATGATGATTACGTCTTAGAGGAAAGAGATAGATAGAGGTGACGCTACCTATCTTTTTCTTTTTAACTTTCTTTCTTTCCTTCCTTCTCTATCTGGCTAGACTTCTTATCAATATTCGCCGAGGACCCTGAAGATCTCGGTCCATCGAGACTAACTATGCACCTAACCTCAGTACTCATATGAACCCAGTACAGCACCCTTCCTAGACCTAACGAAAAACAGAAGAATGATCACGACATTTTATTTAGCTGTCTACCGGACATGTCGGCCTTCATATTATTAATAATACTTAATGAATAATTTTTATTTCTATTCAGACAAGTTGATCTTTTATCTATACCTTTTCTCATCCATCTATCCATCCATCCATCTACCCATACCTATCTTAACTTCTTCTCGTCACTACTTACTATAGTATATTACTTTACTTACCACCCTTGTCATTCTTCCCCTGCTTCTTCTTTCTTTCTTTCTTTTGCCTCTCCCTCTTCATTCATAGCAGACCATATCAAAAAAAAAAAAGATGTCTTCCCCCTCCCCCTCACTCCCACCATCGGAGCGGCCCCGGTCACAGTCCCGGCGCAGGCTTCACGAGGTGATCCCCCCCCTCGTCATGGGCACGGCAACCTTCAACACGCAGTACGTGCCCGACCCCTTCGACCTGCCGGCCACAGCCATGGTGTCGCGCGCCCTCGACCTCGGCGTCACGGCCTTCGACACATCCCCTTACTACGGGCCCTCGGAGACCATCCTCGGCAACGCCCTGGCACAGGCACAGGCACAGACACGGACACGGACACAGACACAGACACAGACACATTCGTCCTCGCGCGCAGACTACTTCCTCATCACCAAGACGGGCCGCATCGCGCCCGACGCATTCGACTACAGCGCCTCGTGGACGCGGTACTCGGTCGCCCGCAGCCTCGAGCGCCTGCGCACGCCCTACCTCGACCTCGTCTACGCCCACGACGTCGAGTTCGTGTCGGCCCCCGACGTCCTCGCCGTCGTGACCGAGCTGCGGCGTCTGCGCGACGAAGAGGGGTTGGTGCGGTACGTGGGCATCAGCGGATACCCCGTGCACATCCTCTGCGAGCTCGCCGAGACAGTGCTGCGCGAGACGGGCGAGCCGCTGGATGCCGTGCTGAGTTATGGCCATTTCTCCCTGCAGAATACCACGCTGGGCGGAGATGAGGTCATGAGGCGGTTCGCGGATGCCGGCGTCGACGTCGTGCTGAATGCGAGTATGCTCGGCATGGGACTGCTCACGACGCGCGGTGCCGACGCGGGACCTATGGCCTCGTGGCATCCGAGCCCCGAGGGTCTGCGGCAGGCGTGTCAGGATCTTGTCCCTGTTGCCGTTGACGCTGGCGAGAAGCTCGAGGTCGTCGCTATCCGCTGGGCGGTAGATAATTGGGCTGTGAGGGGCGCGGCGAGGGGGAGTGGGAATTCGAGGCTCGGGTCCGGCGCGCGCGTCGGCGTGAGCGTTATGGGCATCTCGAATATTGCCGAGCTCGAGGAGACGTATCGCGTCTTTAATAGCGTCATCGAGGGCCTGGAGCCCGAGAGCGAGAGTGGCGATGATGCGGAGCTCATGAGCCGGAGGCGGTGGAGTCGGGACAGGCGCGGGAAAATCCAGGCCGTCGTCGAGAAGATGTGGGATGTGCTGGGGACGTGGAGGGATTATAGCTGGGAGAGTCCTGGTCCGGGATTCGTGAATGCGCGCAAAGCGACTGAGATTGGTGTCACGCCTGATGACGGTATATTAACGAAGCATAAGCTGGAGCCGGTGGTTCAAGTGAATGTTGAACCGGTGCCTGCATTATTATAGGGGCTTTTGACTTGACGGAGTCGGTAGGTAGGTAATGTCTTGGGAGGGGATATCCATATTAGTGGCATAATTACAGCGCAGCGAGAGCATTGATTGATGTGGGACGTGATATTCAAAGTAATACCATAATGAATCACCAAGCCCATTCATACATATTTCATCTTCTGAATATGCAGCGAACTCGATTATACTAACTGACTGACCTATCTGCTAGCTATTTTAAACTCCTTCAACGGATACCAACAACTCAGATCGCAGATATGGAATCTCCAATCCAACAACACCTCCCGACTCGGCATCCAACACAAAGATGATTCGATCAATAGGTTCCGAGCCATAGTACATCCAATCAGTCAACGTCCATGCGAGACAATTCCCAGCTGAAAGCCCCGCGCCAGGCAAGTCCGTATCGCTACTCAATTCAAAATCCCACTCGACACGCCAATCCTCACGTACGACTCTCTTCCGGGTACCATCCGGCATAGGGATCGAATCTTCGTTGCGAATACCGACGGGGAAAATACGTGCTTTGACAGGTGTCACGGCGAGGAACCCGCCGATAGTCACGTCCCAGATCTCGTGTAGCGAAGCCAGGATATCTGCGCCATTACGCTCGATGCCTTGTAATACAAGAGAGTCCCTATCCTGAACAACGGTCACGTTGAAGGCTGTGCCGCCCTCGTTCCCCTCCTTTGAGGTATAATCAGCTAAAATAGCCGAATAGATAGCACCATTGACAAACCTCCCCGTATACCCTCTACTCACGACTTGCTCGCGCGCGACCTCGTCCAGCGCGGGTACAAGCGTACTTAAGACGGCGTCATAGATAGGCGTCACGGCGAGCGCTGAACCAGCCGTGAGCACCATGATAGCACCGCCGTACTCGTCGATGACGGCCATCTGCGCCTGGTACCCGTACGCGGCGCCGCCCTTGGCGTAGACGTCGACCGTGTGCGGATGCTGCGGCGTGAGGGCTTGCGTGCGGTAGACCTCCCACGGGGTGCCGACGAGGGAATGAAGAGAGCCTGTGGCGGAGGTTGGACTCAGCCATGCGCGGATCGTCGTCGTGTCGGAGTCGAAGAGGGAGCGGGAGAGGATGCTGTGTGTGAAGATGGAGAGGTCGGATAGGGTGGATACAAGGCCACCGCCACTGCAGTCGATCATTTGTGTCAGCACTTCTTTCTTTGGTATTCTATTCATCTGTGATAGATAGATAGATGGTTGGAGTAAATGCGGTGATCGATCGCTTGCCATGTCTGTCTGTCACTTACGGGGCATTGTCTCCGTAATCAGAGCCCCAACTATTATCGACGGGCGGGATGACGGCTTTTGCATCGTCTCCGGGGCTGAGGAGCGTGTTGGATAATCCCAGGGGCCCAGAGACGTACGTCTCGAGAAGTTCGCTATAGTTCATGCCCGTGCGCTCTTGGGCAGCGTACATGAGCAGTGTGAAGGCGATATTGGAGTATACGGGTCTTTCGGCGGGTTGCGCGACGGGGTACGATTCTGTCATGCCCTGCAGGAACTCTGTATGTATGTTGTTGTATTAGTCAGTCCTCCTATTTTCCCTTTTTCTTTTTCCTCATACACGATGATGTGAATATCTCGATGGTGAGGACGAAAAGACTCACGTTGGCGTGTACATCCCCCGTTCAACCCAGTGATGCCGCAGGGCGCATACACATCGTCGTCGATATGCGGGAAGCCGAGGGCCTCAAAGTAGTCTTTCAGATAGTAATACTCCGAAAAGCCATCTGCTCTCATCTCTTTAGTACTCGACCCTTATCCTCCTCCAAGTTTTCCCTGCGATCTCCCACTTCACTGTGATCTGTCCGGCTTACTTACAATTCGGCGGGATACCGGCGACTTGATTAGCAAGGTGTCGAAGCGTAATGTGTTCCCACTTAATCAAGGACTTCTCACCCTGGAGCTCGGGTAAGAAGTCGGCGATGGACGCGTCGAGATCAACACCGCTGCGAAGCAGGATATAGTCTGATATGACCTTGGATATGGAACCGATGAGATATTGCGAGTCGCGGCCCAAGTGTTGTGTGCCGTTGACGTTGGCGGGAGAAAGATGGTGGAATTCCCAAACCGGCACGGCGCTGTCTTCCTGATCGTGCATGACGAGGCCGATGGAAAAGGAGGTATTCTCCACCGGCCAGCCCGCCTCGATATCGCCAGCCAGCGCGGCCTCGAGGGCCCTCGTTAGTTTCTCTGTGGCCGCGGCTAGTCCGGCATTGTCCTTGATATGTCGCGGTTTAGGAACGACGGGGCCGGGAGGCCGGCAATCGAGTGCTGCCTCGACAGGGAGGAGAAGAGGGAGGAGGGAGAGAGGAAATAGAAGTAGGACGGATGTGAGGAAGCTGAGCCTGGAAGACGACGAGACATTCATCATCGTGTAGGCAACGTAGATGAACAGAATGAATCACGTAGCGAAGATACCAAGACAAGTGAACCAAATGAATATCACCGCTGTCCATCAATGCGACTTCCGCGCTGACTTACATGTAGACATAAAAGCATCTTGAAAGAGGTGCTTCGCCAGAGTTTATATCTACGTGCGAGTGCCCCGCCGAGAACAGACAGACAGACAGACAGGCAGGCAGACGATACCATCACCTGTGGACTCCCTAATCCACGGCATCGTATACTTCGCCTTTCCTCTTCTCCCACATCCTCGCCACATCTGCACCATTCTAGAGGCTAACCGACTGATTATCCACGGTACACAAGAGAACAATGAAAGAAAAGCAAAGCATTCGATAGACAGATGACATACCCTACCAACTAACGTATACGACGAATGCGACTGCCAAGGGAATCGGTCGTCGATGAAGCTAACCGCTACTCGATGGAGGTGTATAGTATAGGTATGTCATTTCGTAAATTCAAGTAGATATGTGGAGAAGAGTATTCAAATGCGAGATACGAAGAAACACTCCACATGCCGAGCCGCATGAGGCTTACAAAGCGTATTCCTTTAAGATCAGATGGGCAATCCTATCAGAGGAGCCTCGCATCAGCTGGTGTGGCCTGGGATCGATAGC